ATGAAATATCACCAGGTCTGAAAACCACAACCCCCAGATTTTGCTCTGCATTCATATGCTATATAATGAAGCTATTATCATAAGTAACTAGCCAAAGATGAGTACATCATACCATCGAGCATTTATTTAACGATCGACTAAATGGATACATTTGGACAAATATGGATGGGCAAGCCGAATTCTCTGGGTAAGGAACCCAAACAGGTTGTGTACACAGAAAGGTCCATTTAAAATCAGTATGCACTTCTATAGAAGGCCCGTGTGCAGGCACAAGGCTGGACTGCCCTCATTATAGCCTTGACATCATCACTCCCCTAATAAAAGACAGAGAGCATTGGTGACTAGGTGACTGCTTTTAATAGACAACAGGACTACACCCTCGTTAGCCTGCGCACTCCAATAGCTACATTCACTGCCTCCATTCACTCTTAAATCCTTTTATTATTTGGGAACAGGAGCAGAAGTCATGCAAAATGTTCCTACTGTTGCTGACAAACCTTCATTTTCGGGGGAATATGTGCTGTTCTGCGTTGGGCACAGACTATTAATGCAAAATTAAGGCTCAATCTATTGAGGGATGGTTGATTATCAGGATCCAGCATTCGAAAATAATTGCAAAAGGTTTTAAAAGTCATTATAATTGCATGATCCAGTGGTTCCAGCATCAAAGCAGAAATGATAACAAGCCCAGATACATTCACTGAAGCTTTGAAGGTTCTCTTTAGGAAAACCTAAAGTTTATATATTTGACTATATCTTGAAAAGTAACTCAATATATTATTAATAATGTTTTCTTAATGAGACCACTCTTGTTTTTTCAAGCATCCGTTAACCCAATCAAGTGACAAAATAACAATTAATCAGTTGGACTTCAAATAATCAGTTATACAATCTGAGAATGTGAGGTTTATACAGCTACAAAGCAAGCTGTTAGCATTGGATAAGTTAATTTAAGCATGTATCTGCCCTCACACTAGGTTTGGGTTTTTTTTCCTTTTTTTTTAGCTTAGTTTTTGAGGGTTTTTAAGCACTCAAGAGAACATTTCTACAGAGTAAGAATTTAGACTAGCCAGGAAGGCAAACGTTCTTTCCGAACATAACTGGCCTTGCCATCGCTAAGAAAAAAACAGCTACATGAACTTGAATTTACTGTGGGGGGGGGAAGTTTTTAAGAAGAAAGTAACTTTTTAAGTCACTTGGTGTCTTGGTCTCTTCATGTTTATCTTGAAAATAACCTGCAGTAAAACTCATTTCCCAAGTTAAAGGGCATGAGAGGAATGCCCAGTCCAGCCCTTTGGCACTGAAGTGATGGCAAGGCCGAGTCATGTGGTAAAACAAGATATGGCCAAGAAGCTTTCTATTCTCCGACAGCAGGCAGGCCATCTTGCCCAACTTTTCTTCTCTGGGGAGAGAACTTTATCAGGAAAGCTAGGGAGGGGCTAATAGCAAGATACTGAAGACTAGCCTTCGATCACCTGCAATCACCCAGCTTGTAATGCTTTCCAGGGGACCAGAGCTAATTAATGCTATTGGTCTAGCATGCTCATTTGGGATTCGTGCCAAGCTACAGTTAGAAACATTTGTCCTGTGACCTCACCCTGATGCAACCTGGTGGCATTATAGAGGAGGCATGGGTGTCAAAACAACAAGTGAAAATTCCAAAATTCAGTGTTTTCATTTCTTTTTTTCCTCTAACAGTAATGGAGGGAGAGGAAAATCACGCCCATTGTTTAGGGAAAGAAAACTGTCAATGGTTTCAACAGAAATCAGTCTTACTTTGAAAAATTATTAGCAGATGAAGAGAAGTCTCCTATCAAAAATGGATCTAGCATGGGAGTTTTCCCACTGACTGAATGTACTATCCTTGATCTGCACTTTCTTTTGCCAAGCCAGAAGTTGCTAAGAGACCTTGGGTTGAGCAGCAGAATCCTCCCCTGTATCTCTCCCCCTCTTTGGTCACTGCTCTCTTAAGCTTTCACTCATTCCCTTGCCCTGCTTCTCTTTGCTCTCACCCCCCGGGGTTTCTCATCTCCTCCTGGCCTTGAATCTCCATCTTCTTTATTTTGGCCCTCCTGGGCCTTGCTCCTGCTCATCTGATTTCTCAGCTCCTTCCTTCTACCAAAGGCACATGAAGAGCCGAGGATTTTGCACCTTGTGGCGTATTTAACCCAACACACAAAGAAGAGTTTTGAATCAAAGTCAGAGCACAGCTAACTAATGGCACTTTTGCCATTTTGTGATTTTTTTCTTAAGTATGATGAGGAGGAGTGTTGTAGCTATCAAATTTGCAGATGTGTAATTTAAATATTAAATGAAAGTACACAGAGACCATTATTTCACACCTAGAAAAGGCAAGAGATCAAAGTGTTCTAAATAGTCTTCCTCACCTCTCTCAAATACATAGAAGTACAGTCTTTATACTGTCAGAAAATTCAGGTAGGGGAGCATAACAGTCACTTTTGTTCAATATGAAGTAAGACATAACCAACCTGTATGCATAAGAGAGACTCATTTCCAATTTTCCTATCTACAGCCTTTACACACACACACACACACACACACACACACACAAAGCAATTCAAGAGTTTAGGGCTGCAAACACCATCAAAAAGCAAAATATAACAACCGAGTTAAAGCAAGGGCAACACACAATCACACAACAGGATCCAAAAAACACTTAGTGACCACCTGTCCCCACATACACAGAGAAATCAATCATTTGTTTATTGTTGGATTATTTTTTCCTCAGTAAAACACTGGAATCCAAACATTTTAAGGTTTTGTTGAGGCAGAAAGTACTAAATCCTTCACTTAAGCCCTTCTCAATTTTCTTTTTCAATGAGTGTCACAGATTTTGAAAAGGGAAATTGTATAAATTGGGCCCAAGGATAGCATTTCCTCAAGGTAGTAAGTGGTCAACATCATGGAGCCCTCCCTCTTCCAGGGAGAAAAGCAGAGGAGAAGGCAAAGCTTTAATAATGAGCAGATTTTCATGTCTGGAATACTTTAGTCTTTTTGAAGTCATGGAAATGAACTAGATGACCCCCTCCTGGTCCCTTCCTAACAGTCAGTCTCACTATTATTAAAGGGCTTTGTGGCAAATCAAAATTTACTCTGTGCTCCTGGAGCTGAACACAGCTTAAGCCTCATTGTGTCCTTTAAAACTGGGCTATTCCTGAAGAAGCCATGAATGACATCACAAACCAGGTTTGTAAGCCCTAATAGATAGGAAGTCAAGCAGGAATTCCCACAGGAGTCGGGTTCTTTTTAATTACTTGAGCACAGAAGGATATCTGCTCTCCCCAAAAAGGAGGGGGGGGGGCTCTGTCAAATTCTGCATCAAGCAACAGTTTGTCTCTGCTTTGTCTTTGTCAGTACCCTTCCATTCTACCTAACACATTCCCTCCCACCTCCATTTTGGAGCAGCAGATGTGAGAACTGTATTGCCAATTTAGTTTTTAGCTCTGGAGATTTAAACTTGCAGTGAGAAAAAGCAAGAGAGGACCCCAAGAACTTCCCCTAGCACATAACCTTTCCAGGGTGATCCATTAATGGCTTATCCCAGTCACAATGGCCGTGCAGGCACTTTCTTTCCCTTAATGTATTACCAAAACCAATAGATAGATTGATCGACAGGTAATTAGAGAGATAGAGATTAAGCATTTACTACTATGTTCGGAGAACTGTGCTAACTAGGAATGGAATTCACAAGCTCACAGGTGCTTAACGTGGGAAGGGGGATGGCTACCATAATTTTCTCTCTAACTGGACGTGATTCACAGAGCATTTACATATGAGACTATACATGAATATGTGCACCACTGACTGCTGGTACTGGTTATAAGATCTGCAATCTCATGCACTCATAAAAGACAGATAGACAGACAGATAGATAGATTTAGATGAATAGATGGATGCACCGCCGGCCAACAGCATTCACACTTTGGTGGAAAAGCATCTTTCCACCAGTTTGCCTGAGGGAAAAACCGAGAGCATCTTTTGCAGAAAGCTTGCCAGGGTCTCCAGCCCAGCCCTCACACCCGGAATAGACTGTCCTTTGCAGAGGTCCCCCAGAAACGTAAGAAAGTGACAATCCCGATTCCGTTGGCAGGGGCGCGGGCAGCCGAACGGAACCGCCAGACTGAGCGCCCGGCTCAACTCACACATACACGCGCGCGATACGCGCGCGGGTCGAGGGCCAGCGGAGAAGGGGAACCAGCGGGGAAGCCCCCACCCACCTAAGCACCCCCCTCACCCCCCACCCCAGGTGGGCACGATGTGCGCGCAGGTGGCGGCGGCTGGCCAGCTCGGCTCGGGCTCAGCCCGCCCGTCTGGCATCAGCATTCAGGAGAAAGTATGATCCCGGCCGCTGCTGCCGCCGCCACCGCCGCCGAGTAGGAGAGAAAACAAAAGAGAGACGAATTAGTTGGGATTTCGGCTGCTTTGGGGGGGCTGGAACAGGCATGAAAGGACTGGCAACTTTCGGGGCAAGGGCTGCAAACTGCGGCTGCGGGAAGCCAAGCGACCCTTCTGGGAGCTCCAGGGGTGGGGAGAGTGGAGATGGTGGCGGGGGCGGGGGGCGGTGTAAATCGAGTGGGACTCACGCGGGCCACAAAGTTAGCCCAAGGAAGGGGGGAGTGCTAAGGGAATAAAGGGGGAGAAAAAGGGAGCGGGACGCAAGGATAGAGGTGGGAAAGGCTAGAAAAAGAAGAGACGAGAAGAGGGGAAAAGAGGAAAAGACAGGAGATAAGGGAGAAGAGAGAAGGACAGGGGAGGAGAAGAAAAGGGAGAAGAGAGGAGAGGAAAAGAGGAGAGAGGGGAAAAAAGGAGGGAAAGAGGTGGAAGAGAGTAGAAAGTAGAACAGACCAGAAAAGAGCAGAATCGACGAGAAGAAATAAGAGAGGAGGGGAGAAAAGAAAAATAAAAGGGCTACGAGAAAAGAGGGGAGAAGAGGGGGGGGGAAAGGAGAAAAAAAGAGCAAAGGCGAGAGGAGTCCTCACCTGGCGTTGGTGCAGTCGTTGTACAAAGTTTCGAAGTCCTTCCTGGTGATGAGTTTGCAGCGGTTCACCCCCGGCTGGATGGCGCCCAGCCCCCGGAGGATCCTGACCTGCTCGACAGTGCACACCACGGGGGTGATATCCAGTCTCTTGAGCTTGGTGTAGACGGTGTGCAGGCCCCCCACGAGGTGCTTCAGGAACAGGTCGAAGACCTGCGGCAGGCAAATGAGCTCTTGCCCCTCCACCAGGAAAGAAGCCACCTTCACTCCGTGCAGATCGACCATCTTACACTCGTTGCCGCCGCCACCGCCGCCGCCGCCGCTGCTCATAGTCAGACCGCCGCCGCTCATACCGCTCACGCCGCCACTCATAGTCAGACCGCCGCCGCTCATGCCACCGCCGCCGCCCATAACGCTCATGCCACCGCTCATAGCGCTCATGCCGCCGCCGCCGCCCATGGCGCCCATGCCGCCACCGCCCATAGCGCTCATCCCGCTACCACTGCCGCTGGTGGAGATGAAACTGTTAATCATGCTAGTGGTGAGCCGGGGGGAGTCGGACGGGCTGGACGAGTAGAAGGGCTCGGCGCGGAACAAGCCCCCGGGGGCCCCGGCGCTGCTGCTGCTGCTGCTGCTCGAAGTTGCCGAGATCACCGGCGGGGCTGAAACAGCCATTGTTACCCTGGGGGGCTCCGTGCCTCCGGTTTTTCTGGGCACCACTCAGTCCACGGGGTTTTGCTCGCGCTCTCTCAGTCCGTCCGCCTCTCTCGCAACTGTTGGCCACACTACTCTAAACAGGCTCACGCTCCTCCCACGCCCCGCATACACAGTGAGCCGCAGCACCCGCGGCTACCAGACCCCACCCACTCCCGAGACTGGCAGCACGCCTCGGCCAATGGGCTCCAACCTCACGGCTCCTGAGCTCAGAGAGTGGCTGCGGGAAGCGAGGCGGGGCGGGGCCTCGGGGCCCAGCCCGAATACCTGAGTCCCCCCAGAACTGGTCGCGTGAATGGGGACGGAACCGACTGGGGGGGGCTGGGCTGGGCTGGGGTCTTCGGGCGCCGGCCGCGCAGTTCGTTACGTTTGTCTTTCTCTTTCTCCCCTCCTCATTTCTCCCTTGCGTTTGCCCGCGCAGCCTTTAGCGCCATCTCGGAGCTCCGCTTTGCGGGGCTCTCCAGGGTCCAGGTACCCTGGGCTTTGTAAGCCCCGGGCCCGAGAACGAGATTCCCGGGTGAGCCCGGGAAAGGAGCAAAGCCCCCAGAGCGCCACCTGCCACCCGCCACCCTTGCTACCCAAGGCGGCGGCCCCAGACCCGGCGAGCGGAAACCCGGAGCATCTGGGCAGAGTCAAGCCCCCTTTCCCTGGTGGGTGCCCGTACGGACCAGGGGTTGCGGGGTGGGGGGGAGCGGCACAGAGCGGAGACGGGCCTGCAGGCGCACATCCCCAGAGGAAGCAATCCCTAGGGACTCGTTTAGGATTCTTAAGCTTCCGTGGTGCCCCGGCCCCTCCTCGATTGAGGCGCCCTGGGCTGAGGCTAAAGGAGCGCCCCCTCCTCTACTGGCCGGGGACGAGCCCCGCTTTTTCCCCCCCTCCCCACTGGGAAAGCAGGTGGGCAAGGTCCCGTGGTACGTCCAAACGCACGCATAGCAAAGGAACAGGTGCCCTGGGGTTGGGGGTCGGGGCGGGGGGGGGGGCTTTCTAAATAAATCTCTGCTTCCTCTATCTACAAACACAAAAATCGAGGGGCCTGTAGCCATAGAGGGGCTCGAGAACACTGTGGCCAAGGGTCCCACACCTAGGAGGTGGCAACTGTACAATGCACGAATTTCTCCTCCCCGTCCTTTCTAGGTGTCCTCAAAGTCACGACCAAAGCTCAGCCACGCTAGCTACATATAGGCCAGCTACCTTGGACAGAGTATGTATCTACATGTCCCACAGAACAAGTACTGTCTATATAATATAATCCAGGGTCTACAGACCCAGCTGGCTGATACTCTTTCAGGACTCCTTTATAGGATCTTTCTAAGGTTGGCCCAAATACAAGGTAATGCAGCCTTTGTTCTGTTCTGTTTTTGTTTTTTCCTCTCCAGTGCCTAAGTTCAAGCCAATGATAGCCAGGTGTTCCTTACATTTCCTTACAAAAGTTTCAAAATTGTATGAAGGGGTTTTGCTTGCACATTGCCTTTTCTTTTCTCCCAACAAGCTTCAAAATTCTTTTCAGCCCTTGTCATGGTTAGCAGTACAAAGACAGAGCAGTGAATGTCCAGAAAAAGAAAGTCTAAACAAGAATTAGATTTCCTACGTTGAATTTTCCTGCCTCTCCATAATACATGTTCCCCTCTCTGTTTAAACCTTTTTGTACAGTTTTTCCTGTTAATTGAGGATGCAATGCTTAGGCACCTCGGTGATGGGTACTTCAAAAATGCAGTGATAAGGCTGCTTTATCTAATTGTCAGGAATGGATATAGCCAACAGCCATTTTTAAATGGCTTTCTCTAGTTTGTGAATGCAAAAACTAGTGGATGAGAAAAGGTTGAGAACACTACTGAGGAGCTGTTGAAAAAGCAAAGTTTCAACAAAGAGGACAGAGAAATAATGTGGAAAGTGAGATTTGTGTTCTACTGGATTTTTAAAAACACGGAGCAATTTTATTCAACAGGTGGCTGGATAGAAGTTAGTTTAAAAAAATAAAAGGGGCTATTTAACCATGCTTTAAAATAAGTGGCCTCTGTAAGTATTTGGAAGTACTGGTGCATTTACTCGATTTTTTTGTTTTGTTTTGTCTTGAAATGTCTCCATCTGTTATCTCTGCTTTGCTTTCATATTTCTAAGGCTCAGGCTCCCCTTGGATGTAGCTGCACCTGGGCTCGAGGCTGCATGTCAATAAATACCCTTTCATTCCCATGGTGGTTTGGTGTGTACACCAGCAGGACAGTGTCCTACTTTTTGGATTTTAGAAACCAAAGAAACTATGAAATATATACAGAGAGAAAGAAAAAGTGTTGGTTTTTCCATTTTTTGTAAGACTGAAAAAGAAATAAGTGGGTTCTAAGTCTTTGAACCCAAATTCAATTTGTCATTTCCAAAAAAGACCAGAGATTGCTGTCTTATTTACACAGGCTGATAGAGCATGTCTACAGTAGCACTGTTAACTGACAAAGCCGATTAAGATCCAAATTCCAGGAACAGTGTCAGGAACTATGATTGGTATTTGATCATTGAGAAGTTAAATGCCCTTCATACATAATATATAAGATATATATATGTGTGTATATATATAAAATTTCTGTATTTCAACACACAAAAGACCTAAGCCTTCATTATTCTTTTTCATGCTCATTGAACTCTTTCAGAAAATATACCTAGTTATTTTATTGAGTGCTAATTGTAACTTGAAGATTTATTTCATCATTTAGATTTAAGAAGGCATGTGCTGTTTTCTTTTTTTTTATTTCTCCTATATTTTGAAAACTTTTTTTTTTGCTTTGAGATTAATGAGACAATCAAATTCCACACAGAGGTTCTTTTTTCCCCCTTTCTGACTTTAATGTCTTCCATAAGCTAAACATATTTCTAAATAAGGCTGATTTTCTCCAAGGCCAGAGGAAGCCTTGCGTATCAACACCCTGCAAGTTGAAGTGGCATGAAGCAATATAAAATCATAAAGACTGCAGTAAAAACAGCACCCTTGGGAGGTGACTATCCATGGAGAGAGGGACTGCACTCCAACTTTGAAAATGCTCAAGGTTTGTGAATTAATGTCAGGCAGGAGCCAGATTATCTCAGCATATATAAATCCAAGGAAATTAATACAAAAACAGATGCAATATCTCATTTGAACAAAAAGAAAAAAGGCCAGGTGCTTCTATTCTAACGTCATGTAGCTAAACTAGTAGTCTTATATCCAGTACCTAGCACAGTGCCTTGCACATAGTAGGCATTTAATAAATTATTATTGAATTGCTCCAAATCATATGATAGGGCTGAGTGTAGGTTGACACGCAATGAAATTCTGCAAACTGCCCATATGTAAAGAACAATGTTTTTTTTTTCTAATTCAATACTCCATAGTAAGGGGGGGGGGATGCTCAATCTGTGCCTAAAGGCAAAATATTCCATTTTGTTTAACATTAAGAATCTGTGAAATTCAGATGTAATTTTAATTCAAAGGAAAGAATTGCCCACCTAATTCAAGACTGCAGAATATCAAGAGCTGTTGAAGGGACTGGTTTCCATGATGGGCCTTCAAGCAGATCCCAAAGGGAAAAAATTGGAATTACTTGAAGTGTTCAGCCACCTCGATTTATTTCCTCTACTTTAGCCTCTGATTAGGTCCAGTAAGACTGGTAAGACTGATCGAGGAGAAGAATGAAAGGAAGTTGTTGAATAGTGGAGAGAGAGGATAATGAAAAGAGACATGGAAATATTTGCCCAGCTGAAGAATAAGAAAATCTCACTGCTTAGGCTTCTCTTCATATACCTCACTTTATGGACTACATGTAGAAAGGTGGCTGGCAGTTTTCATAAACTGAGTCAAAATTCTCTATTGAATTTCATGGTAAAATGGGAGATGTGGTCACAACACACAAAGAAACCCAAGTCAGACTAGAGACCACATACATGTAGTTAGCCTTTTAAACAGGTACATGAAGGAAAAATGATCTTTTTCTAATGAAACATGTTTAACAACAATATTTAAAGTAAGTAGTACACCAAGAAATATGTCTTACTAGAAATTTAAGAAGAGGATGGTGGGCCCAATTTCCATCCAGCCAATGTCTCTGTGTTCTAAGGTAAATTTTCTCTTAAAGTCCTGAACTTTTCCCTGATCCCATTCATGCCATCTAACCATGGCTGAGCCTTGGAATTAAGGTTTCTACTGCCAGGCAAATCCCCAGAGTGTCTGTTTCAGACCTTTTCCCCTTTCCAAAAGTCCTTAATTCCACCCTTGCTTCTTTCATTTCCAGCATGTGTCCTAACTCCCTACTTTAGTATGAAAACCAAGGCCATTTAGACATTCGCTCCATTAACTTTGCCCTCCCCCCACCCCATCTCAGGATTTCCAGTACCATCATCAACCCCTTTACCTTCCACTTCTGAGGAAGAAGTATCCCTTCTGTTCAAAACTAAGCCCTCCATCAGTGTTCTTAATCTCATTCCTTCCTTGCCCCATCCTCTAGCAGGGTTGGGAAACCTTCGAGCTGGAGGCCACATGTGGCTCTCTAGGTCCTCAAGTTCACCCCTTTGACTGAATCCAAACCTAGAATCTAGGGCTTTATTCCATCGATTTGACCCTCTCCCTTAGAGCTTCCATGACTCGCTCCTCACTGGCTCCTTCCCCTCTGCCTACAAACATACTTTGGCCTTGAAACAAAATGACTTCTAATCCTTGGATTTCTGGCCTACCTCCGGTAACTACCAAGTTCTTGCCCCTTCTTCTTTGCCATCTGCTTACTCCTCAACCCCTTGCAATCTGCCTTTCACCTCTATCCCTTCTAGAACTGCCCTCTCCCAAGTCACCAAGTTCAGTGACCTCTCCTCCCTCCTCATCCTCCTTGACCTCTATGCAGCATTTGCATGCTAACCATCTTCCCTCCTCCTTGAAATTCTCTCCTCCCTGGGCTTCTGGGACCCTATGCCAACTTGCTTCTCCCTCTCACTTGGTCCTAATATTCTTGTTTACCTCTATGCAGAGTCAATGCCATTCAGTAACTTAAAGAGGAGGGAAATACTAAAAGAGAAGGTTTCCCACTGGAGGAGGCACAGGTACAAAACCCTGAAGGTAACAAGGGATTCCAAGGAGTGGAGGT